AGGTAGCATAAATCAGTTAAATGACGAAAAATTAGGTGTCTATTTACTTGTGATCACTCAGTGTACATTCACAAAGGAATGAGATGTCAAATTGCAGTTCATCCCTTCTATTGGGAGCCCTTATCCTACTCCAGCATGGATTTCAGTACCCTATGGCTGGGTTTTGGATTTAGAATAGAACCAATCAACATAAGTCCTCACAGATGTTTATGGTTGTCTGTATTCCTTCCTTAATCATTCTCCTTCTGTGTTACAGTGGAGGTAAGGAGAATTGTTCTGGTTCTGTCCTTCTTGCTATCTCTCACTATATCTTATTACAAAGATGTTATTGCATTTTGGATGGTTCAGGTCAGTTTTACTGTTGGGGGTGTTGATTTATATTATATAGACATCCTTTTGATACCTGATGTCAGGTCCCCGGATCAATAGATCAAACCTAGCACATGTCATGCTCAGGAGTCAGAGTGGTTCTAGATTCCCTTCAGTCTCTTGACCTTGAGGTGAAGACGGTATGATCCTCATCCTACCTCCGTGTGGATGTCGGTTCCCAGTGGCATGGGTTTTGGATGTAGTTGACTAACCAAATGTAGTTCGTCATGCTCTAGCTACTCTAGACCTAGGGGCACATATACTTTGTGGCAATGAGTTACATATATATTTACATGGTTAGGATCACTATCCTGCTACAGTTCTCTCCCATTTGGATGTGCTCCTCTCTTTTTCTGCCCATAACTACTACACATTTCACGGATGAGCGAAGAGTATACCTGTTTCAGAAGTGGTGCAGTTCCCCTTATCAGATCTTTGAATCTGACTCTCTCAATTCCAGGGGTATTCTTCAGATGCTTTGGGGGGGGGGGCTGTACTTTTGTCATTCCCTTGCACCAGTCCCACCATCTAGTAAGTGTGGGATTCCAGCTAATCTTGTGAGAGGAGGGAAGTACCATATTGGAAGTTATAATTTTCATATACTATATCTCATTCTCCTATTGGGGGGGAAGTGATGCATGATGATTTACATGAGAAACATGTTGGAATCATTTGATTCCAATAGGTGGGAGCAGAAGGCTTGTGGCATGCTTAAAGAAAAAATTTTCATATAGAAGGCAGCACTGGATGAGAATAGCTAATCTTGTGGGGGAAGTACCTATTGGAAATACATTTTCAGTATAGGAAAATTATAACTTTTGAGAGAAATGTGATTCATAGGTTTCAAGAGTATCTGTAATATTTAAAAGCTTTTAGTTACTTATAATAGGTAAAACTTGATTTTTTTGTTATATAATCATCCTTTGAGATAAAATGCTGTAATTGAGAATCATTACCATCATTAATCAAAAGGATACAATACCAGGAGTAAATGCTTTAGTAATACAGTTTCTTTCGTATACATAAACTGTGTAGTTTCATGATTAAACATTTCAAGAAAATGAGGGTGCCAGTTTATTCGTAATGATCATTTAGTGAAGTGTACTTGCAATACTCATGTTGTGCCATGTGAGGAATGTCATGTGTTTGTCATAGGATAGTTGTATATCAATAGAGTTAGTGAAATAGGCTTAATACAGACTCAGCATCATTAGGGCCTACAGTGTCAGCAGTGATGTAAAACCCTCAGTTCCCATGATTCATTGGACCAAGGACTACTAATGTAATTTTTTATGCTATACTAGTACTGCACTGTGCACAATCTAATACTACTAGAAAATATATCTAGAACCCCCCCCCCCCAAAAAAAAATTCTGAACTGGGACACCAAGAGGGGATATTTACATCACTGCATTAGCAGGGATGTTTTCTCTTACAAAATACCTGTTAAGTTGAAGACTTCATGCTTTCAAAACCTTTTACTTAAAACAGTGGAATGTTTTAGGCAAAGTAAGAAAATTATCAAACTCTTATATTTTCTTAGTTTCAGCAAGTATAGAGTAAACTTTGTCATGTAAATAGTGTTGCAACTCAGCATAATATTCTTGTTAAAACTGTAAGGAAGAGAACAAATTAATATAAAAATTAACCTTACATTCTAATACAATTCAAAGAACTCATCTGTACTGAAACTGTTCTCGTAATATAAACAAATTGAACTTCAAAGTACTGGACATATTACAGTCACACATCAGTTTTCATTGAAATTTACTTCCTAAACTGTTATGAGTAAAACAAAGCTATAGTATTTTAAGCATTAGTTTATATTGTAGATGAAGTTTAATTACTGGATTTTTTTAACTAAAATTCATTATTTCATACATTTTCACCCAAATCTAGACATACATTGATAGTACAAAACAACTTTCACAAAATTACTTTCTATAAAGTTTCACAATTTAATTATGAGTAAAATTATCACACCAAAAAGTTAAAAATTAAGAATTTCTTTACTATTATTAACATTATGTTTGGTTAAACTATGTCAGTTTTTTGTTATTATGTAGTAGGTAGAAAACAAGATAGATAACAAATATATTGCTTACTTGTGTTTATTTAGGACTGAAAAATTAAAAAGAGTTGTCAATTGTAAAGGCCTCAAATAAACAGAATAAATTTTATATTTGTTACAGTGTAAAAACAAGTTTAGAAACCTTATGTAATCATTGTTATTTTAGCTTAGCCTTTGCTTAAAGGAAAAACTAGAAGTTTTTTTAGAGTTTAAATCAGAGGAAAATTTCTTAAGATGTGTTTCACTTTGTTTTCTTATAATGTTATTTTATTCTTGATGGGGTTTTTTGTGATATATCAGTCTTTTATTATATGGCAAGTTTGTGTGTTCATTATTTATTGTTTCTTGTGTTTTATATTCAATTATTTTTGACGAGATTGGACAGTATCAGGTGAAGTGGAAGTGGAAGGAGTGACACACGCTTGTTCACCCAAAGTTGAAAACAAGGTAATTACCTGCTACAGTAACATCTTTCTCCATGTCTGGTGGCACTATATGATAATTTTAACTGCTTCACATATTTGATACCAGACCAGAAATGAAACCTAATTTTGTAGTGAACAATCTTCTACATACTTGTCCTTCACTAAGATATCTGACACACTGTACACAATTCTAGATATGGAGATACTTGGTGTGAAATTTGTAGGCTTGGAAAATTAAAGTTATCAATCTTCAACACTTAAAAGAAGAAATAAATTTATTTTCTCTGTATTTATTTAAAATTTTCAACTTTAAAAAAGCTATTGAATAATACTTGGGGAAGGTTTCAAAGTGAATTTTAGCTTGGTGCATAAATAACATAGACAAATGTCTTTAAACAAACTGATTTAATTTTATGATTAAAATTGTTTTTTTAGTAGTGCTATTTCATGCATTTAACTAGATTGGTTTATGTTTATGAAATCTTTATCCTTAAATAAAACATTTCAAGCTAATTAACCAAAATGAGAAGAGTATTTGCAACTGATTCATCAGGTGGAAAACGAAGTTTTATAGTAAATATTAAAAACACTGTAATACCAAAAACCAAATATTTCAAAAATAAAATAATGTAAACCAATTCGTTATGGCCAGCTTTGATATTCACTCCTTATTCACTAACATCCCACTTCAGGATACAATTAAAATAATTAGTAAACAGTTATTCCCTACCAAAAATGCCACACTCTCTAACTTTAACAAACAGAACTTCAAACAGCTTCTTAAATTGGCCCTCAAGCACAATCACTTCGTTTTTAATGGTCATCTTTATGACCAGATAGATGAAGTGGTGATGGGATCACCTCTAAGTCCGACCCTTGCAAATATTTTTCAAACGTTCAAATAAACAAAATAAACAATCTCTTTGCCACATCTATTTACCGTAAGAAAACATTTACTAGCTTATACACTCGTTTTGACATTTTCATACTAGACTGCTTCAAACATAACCTTGTTTTAAATCTTCTAAACAGAGTGTATAATGTCTGTTCTGACTACTACTTTCTTCACTCAGAAATTTCATAACATATTACAAAGTAATGGTTATCTCCTTAATTTCATACACTCTATCAGACGAAAATTTTTAACAAGTAAAATAGAACCTACCAAAAAGTCACACACTGTCTCAAAATATCCACTAATTCTTATCATTCTTTTCATTAACGAACAAAGTTTTAAACTCAAATATCAAATTCAAAAAATAATAACAACATATTACCCACAAATTCAACTAAGTTTAATATTTATGTCAACGTTTAGAATTAAACTCTTTCTGCATGAGCATCCTTTACTGTGCATGTCATGAGGTTTTTAGTGACTTACATTCAAAATTTAATTGAACTACTTTTTGTTTATGTTATACCAATTAGTATAGCATAAAATCGTAGCTAATAATCCATATCCTAAGTTTCCCTCTATTTTATTCACCACCCATCCAGTAACTACGGAATTAAATGTAAATTACTCACTATAAAACCGTCATTGCTCAGCCAAATCATAATTTTTATAGCTTTCAATCTTGTGTGGTTACAGAGCCATCAAATAGAAAATCAGACCCCTCTTTCCACACCCACATGTCGCATCCTTTATTTCAGGATTTGGTAATAATTCTCACAAACTCTTAATACTATATTAAGTATAACCAATAGAAAGCCAAGGTTTTCATCTATCAAATGACATGTTATATTACATTGTTTTCTGAACAGAGAATTGTCATTTTCTCTGTTAGTACAAGCTTTGTTCCCATGAGAAAGATAACTATCTTCGGTGAACTTGTAATGGATCTTGTCGGATAGTTAGAAAGCCAGAAAAATTATGATAGTTAGGGGAAATTGTCTGCTTTTTGCATGTTATTATTCTATGTTCTTTGGTGCATTATTTAATTAAGTAAAAATTATTAAGTGCATTGCTAACATTAGTATAAAAAAGTAGGGTTAAGTGTCATCGACAGTCAACAAAAATAATAATATTCGGGTTAGTACTTTATTTCTTGTTTTTCATGTTTATTCTTTGTCTGTAAATTGTAAAAATATGGATCTCTGTAGGTTAGTTAAGGTTAGGTTAGGCAAAATAAATAATATTATAATAAAAATGTTTTACAAGGCATGCACACGAGCAGCTCAGAGTAATGTCATTCGATAGCATAATGTGAGCTCCATGTTCCCCAAGTGATTTACATGGCATTAATAGTAGTAGTTAACTGTGGTTCGTGGGCAATAAAACAAGACAATTTAAATATAAATAGATGTATACTGTTGCGCATTTAAAGCTACTTAGGATAAACGAATATAGTTTCATGTTACAATTTGAAGTGATTCTGGAAAGAAAAAAGTGTAATTTAGGTTTATTTTGATTTTTTTTGGTGGGGGGATTACGAGGCAGGTCAAATAGACCATCATTGTATAAAGTTAGGGTAGAGAAAAATAACAGGTAAAATATAAAGTTTTACTGAAAACAAACATTTTAAATGTAGTTAGGAGGTTTTAGAGATTACGCAAATGAATTTGAGATGAAGAATATATTCATGGACTAATCTATTTTTAGTTTATCAAAAATACATCACTAAAAAATATGATTAAATACTTATAATATTTACTGAAAGTCTGCCAAATTTTGTGAAGCTATACATACTATATTAGAAGTTAGTAGTATCAAAACTATAAATACTTTAAATGACTACAAAGAAGTCATGTGGTCGGTCAAATTAACCGATCCCATGTTGAAACGTTTCAAACTAAAGTCATTCTACCCATTCCTATGCGCTCAGGGGTTGTATATAAATACACTTGTGGTAGCTGTCTTGTATCCAATTGCATAACGAGAATAACAACCACCCCCATACTTCCAGAAAACTTTAAAATTCTCGACTTCGGAATCACAGATTACAAACTCTTTATTAAAGAAAGCCTCCATTTTCAGTGATACCCAACACTAAATATTAACATCAACTCTTCCCTATTGTCATTAATGTAATCAATTCTGGATACTAAGTGTTTTTATTTGATATTTATTATTATTATTTTAAAGATACAGTTTATATATATATATTTAAGCCTTTCTCTATAATAGTTTCTCTTAACAATGTTATTTATTAAAGGTGTATGCTGCATGTTTTATTGTACATTCCATTATATTGTTATTGTTTAAATCTGTTCTTTCTAAACTTCCGATTGAATATGAAAATTTGCCCAATGCTAATGTTGTTTTTTGTAGTTCGAATATTAAGAACTAATTTTTTTAAGATATTAAAGCAACACTGATGGTGGAATTTAAGAAAATTCCAAAATGTCTGTATTAAAGATGTTTTTTGGTATTACTGTGTTTTTAATATTTATTATAAAACAGGTATATTATGTAAACAATACTACACAGGACTTGAAATAACAGGTGCCATGGCAGCTAAAAAAAAAGTTATGTGGCAACTTGGAATTTAGTTAATTTTTCAATAAAAAACTTGCTTTTCATGTGTTTAGTAACTTTAGATATAATTAAACATCACAGAAACTAGTTTATAGCATATGAATTTTCAATAAATATCAAAATACTGAAAAAGGAATTCAAATAGGCATAATTCTGCAGAGTCTTTTAAGTTTCTGTTGTTAGACCACCCACTAATAAACATGTGGGCTCCTCTGTCATGAGATGGTTGCACTAAAATTGTCCACGTGCTTTACATAATTTTACAATGGATTGGTTCACCTTCATAGTGTTGTAAACATTAAATGTTACCAAAAAAAGCACTGTGGATATATTTTGTTTACAATTAAAATACACGAATTGCATGAAATTGAAAATTGGGTCAAATTTTCTTGGAGCAAGGAGAGAATGGCCACCCTTGCTCCTCACTAGGTTAAGCTACTATCTTGGTTCCTAAATATATAAAGATATATGGCAAATCCTGATACCACATTAGTGTTTGTAAAGCAAACTGACACTGTGTATTGTACAAATTCATTATTAAAAAATGTGCTTTTAAAGTGTCTCTTTTTCAGAAAAGAGCAGTATTTAAAAGTGCACGAGTTTCTGTGTCATTTTGTAAACTTTTATAGTTAACATATTTCTGTAAAATGTAACTAATATTAAGTTTTGTGCAGACCAAGCTACAGTGGTTTAAATGTATACTAGTGATGGGTGACATAACTGTGTATTGATGGTTGTTTAACAATAATTATAAATATACAGATATGTCACCCATTTTTATCTTCAATTACAAGTATAAAATTATCATTTCATCTTTGTAAACATTACAAAAATTGTCAAATAATTTTAATGATTTTACTTCTTAGCTATATTAAAGTTAATAAATTTGTAACCTGAGCATTGTCTATTGTGGTCTTTCATTTTATGAAATGTTTGAGGCAAAACAGTGATGTTTGTGTATTTACTATGTCTGCTACAGTGTGTTGTACTTACAAAATGTTTTAACTCTGGGGTGGGTTAAAAAAATTAGTAAAAATTGAAAATAAAATTATATATATATATACACATATACATAAACATAAATAGTTATTAAAAGCATAACTTCTAAATTATTTACTGCATTTATAATTAGGTAAAGAATAAAGTGGCCTCATATTATATAAATAAGGTTTTGGTTGACTTTATATTTTGTTCAAACAAGTCTTTCCCTGATTATAAACCAATTGCAGTTAAAACTTGATTAAGCATTATAAGTGTATAACATTTATACAAGCAGTTATGAGAGAATCTATTTGAGCGTACACTTTGCAATAAAATGACTATATGTTGTATGTATTTTCTTTTATTTCAGACCTAGAGATGTATTAAAGTTCAAAATGATACTCACAATGGGGTGTTTATTAGACTAATAATTAGCATTGCTATTAGGCTGTTTGGTGTAACTTTTGAATATAAATCATGATGCATCAATCTAAAACAAATGTCATTAAATACATAGTTCAACAGCATTTTTTCACATTAGATATACAAGCATAAAAAAAGCATCATTTGTTTGAAATTACTAAATTTATGTTTTTTATCTTTATGTATATATTTTAAATGGTTAATAAAGTTTAAATACTTACATTTCTCTACACCTTAATTATTTTTTAATTTGTAACATAAGCTCCTTTCACAACTCGTGCAGTTTTCAAGTGGTGAGTGCATAACTACATATCAGTATTTTAAAATTTAAATACAAAATATAATTCTAACTCTGCTGCAACAAATTCGTACTAACATATTGTACAATTGATAATTTTATTATTATATAACATTTATTTAGTGTAATTCACAAAGAAAATATTAACTTTCATTTCTGTGCAGCTTCAAGGATTCTCGATTGTAAACGCCATTTCACTTTTTTTCATAATTTTTCTGCCCATCCCAAATTAGAGGTTTCTACTTCCTAAAAAACTATCATATTTTGTAAATATTATGATCCGTGTCTTTTTTTTTTCAAGTCGTTTTCCTTCTTTCTCAGCAGTTTCATTACTACAGCTCTTCATGGCACCCTTTTCATGGTGTTGCAGCATGTGGTCTGAACAATTACTAATGAAGCTTGGCTTTGAAAGTAGCTAGTATCAGTGGCTACAAACTATTAGTTCAAAGAGAAACTAATCTGTCTTTATCAATATAAAGTAAATAAAGTGGTTTTAATGGTAATTTCAGGTTTATCAACATATTGTTACCTAGAGCTCCTGTTGGAGTGAACAAAGGAGTAATGCAAAACTTTTAACACTTAGTAAGAATCACAGATTTGAAAATTTATTTAGAGTTCCTTTTAATATTCTTTTCATACATTATATTACAGTGTATTTGTTTGAAAACTACATAATTTTTCTTCTATGAGAAGGCATCAGTTAAGTTTAGTTAGTTGTAGAGTGTACAGAAAATGACATACACTGTTCAAGTGAAATATCTGTTTTTTATTGGATACTGTTGTTCTGTTTTCTTGTATTCAAACAACTCAAACACAAATAAAAAACTAATGCTTTGAAAACAAACTGTTTTTTAGATGTAAATTGATTTTGAGGCAGAATATTTTTAGGAAAAATGTAACCTAGTCTGACAAAGGTAATGGTGACATTATTTTGAAAGTAAGATCTTGGTTACTGATAAATATTTTTTATGACTTATAGCTGGGAGTGGTGAATACTACAACAGCAAAATATAGTATTGAAATAAATATGTTAAAAATATCAATCAAATTGAAAATGAATGGATATATTAAATGAAACTTGCTGATCAATAATAAAGTGATGTTTTAAGTTGAAAGGAAAAAAAAATTTAAACAGTGTCTCACAACAAAATTGTGGAAATTTTACAATCTAAAAAAAAACATAGAAATACTATATCAAATTATATGATTTCTTTAACAACTAGGCACTATATAGAAAGTTTATACTAAGTTTTGTGCAGTTTGTTAAATATTTCCACTGTAAGACAGGATATATCTGTGATATCCTTCCAGCTTTACATGTATGCATCGTTGTTGTTGGAGAATATCACAACAACAAAAATGCATAACACTTTGAAGGTGTTGTAGATACTTGTTTCAACAAATCATCTGGTAAAACTGATAAAATCACATTATATATGTCATAGATCATTAAGTAATGAAGAGAGCTTGATATAGTTTTTGTTTTTTTAAGTATGTTCTACTGGTCATTGCTATAATTTATAGGAAGACGTGGCTTACTTCAGTCACCCGTTTTCTTTTGAACTTGAGTACAAGATGAAAACCGTCCAACCATGTCCAGGTAATTTATATATACATATGTTTAAAAAGTAATGATTTTTTTTGGTAAGCTAAACTGTTTTACCAAGTTATACTATAACTTTCATAACATTACCCCAGCTCTTTAGTATATGTTTTGCCATATAAGTTAAAGTTTTTTACATGATAAGACAGTTTAACCCTTTCGCAGTGGGCTCGTGCAATTTGTGGAAATCAAGTTGCAAATTTTACTTGTACAACAATACATACGGTAACTCGGAGATTTATTAACGTATCCTCTCAAAACTGGTGAGATTTCGTGAAAGATCATAAGTATCTTGTACGTGTATAATGATGGTTTTATAATTGCTTTTACTAAAAATATGTTATTCTTTTATTGTAGTTACTTGCATCCAAACTATTAACAAATCAAGTGCAAAGTGATTTTCATTTTAAGTATAAAAATACTTTTTTTCGTCTTATAGTTTCATATTTCATTTGCATAATCTCTAGAACCTCTTAAAAGGATATCAAAAGTTTTTTAAGGTAAATTTTTATATTTTATTTTTAATTTCTCTCTGTCGTATCACTAACTCTAACTATTATCATCAGTGTATAATAGAATGAAATAATTAAAATTAGGAAAGAGAAAAAAAAATACATAATTTTAATTTTTTATAGAATATCTTTAAAAGAGTTTCTTTTTTTCAAATTCAAAATTTCATCTCATTTTCCTTTTCACATATAGTTAATTTTTAATTTTCCTTTCTTGTCTTTTACAACTTATTATTCATCTCAAGACAAGTCAACAGTGCCCTGGAGGCATATTACAGTTTCTTTGGGAGACATGCACAAGCATTTGACAAACTTTTAATTCAGTGCCTAATATCGTAAGCCTTGAGAAGGTATGCAAAGTATGATGTATATTTTAAAATGTTTAAACCTTTTAAGTATGCATTTTAAAACATAACTAATACATAATTAACTAAGATATAATAGTAAGACTTAAACACAATTTAAACTGTATCTAACTATAACATATTTAGGTAAGAAAAACCCGTAAGTGCTATAGTTGATCAAGAAGCCAACAGTACTATAGTCAATTTCATGTACTCTATGACAAAGACTTGGTGCCAATTTCAAAATAACCATTGTTAGTTTCTACTGTAAAATGAGATATTTCTAATTGTTATATACACACATGTATGTAGCGTCTACATGGAAGAGATAAAGCGCAGGTCTTGAAAACATTTATTACTTGTTTTAACTATATTCATTCAGAGTACTTTGGAAGGAATGAGTCAAAAGGTTATGTAAGCATCTTAGTAGCTAGATGTACCACTACTCTATTACCATTGTATTATAGAAAATGCAGAGAGCCAATGTAGAGATTTTTCATAGCTTGTTGGTCACATGACAATACATCTGAAGTTTTAACTAATTTTTAAAGGTTTATTTTGTAATAAAGGACTCAAACTTAGATACAATAAAACCTTGAATCATAACACAAATTATAATATTTAATTCATTCACGTACATTGATATTAAAGGTGTTTAATTGAGATTTGAATATAACATGGTGGCTTGCACAGAAAAGCATTTAAAAAGGCTCCTATTGTGAAAGGGTTAATAAAGCTTTATGTGATTTTGTGATTGAAATATTATTATACACTCTTATTTTAAAAAAAAAACATAAGGGACCAAAATATGAAATATGTTGTTGAAAAATACAATAAGCCTAGTACTGTTGTCTAATGATAAATATCATTTATTGTAATTATGCTTTGCAGCTTTTTTTATTAGCATTAGAATGTAGTTGATGGCACTAAAAGAAAAAGAAAGCCATAAAAAGTATTTTGCTCTTTAATTTCATACAGGCAAGTGAAGTCACTATAATGTTGGTGAACCCTTGCTTGCATTAGAGTAATAGCTTTCTTATGAAACCACAGACATTTAATTCTGTCTACCTTCAAGTGTATATTATTCTATATAAGTTATTATTTTGTTGGTGAAAATGTAAAAATTAAAAAAATGAATGTCTGCACAAATTGATTTTTTGTACTGTTATCATTGTTTTTTAATAACTTTGAAAATTTCATAGTAAAGATTACAGGGTGGAGTATGTCATAGTCAAACAATTTTGTACTTGCAAATCAATAAGTTACATGACAACCACAGCAAATATAAAGTTTTGGTGGGATGGTATGCATCAGAACTGTATTTTGACAATATTTGGCATTTCATAAGCAGTGTAATGCCGCCAACAATTGATCGATTTTTTGGAGGGGTATGTAATAGCCTTGCCCAGTAGAAATTATTCATGCACTCATGCCTTAGTGATATGCTTAAGTTAGGATTTAGAATTTTCAAGACAAAGATGTCCTTTGTACTTAACGGCATTGTAAAGCAAAAGAATATGGATCAACTTAGAATACCAGGACCATCCAGAAAGAGACCTACAGCAAGTCATACCTCAGTTGTGGTGACCAAAGTGGACATCTTTTAACAGGGGAGAATCTACTAACACAAAGGCAATAGTACACAGCCTAATCAAGAAGGAGAGGATCTCCATCTAGAAATGAGGCCAGCAGTGTATTGGTTCACCAATACAAGGCATCCAGTCATACCTTCTGTTCAGCAGTCACATACCTCAAACATCTGGGCAACAAAATGGGTATCCATGCTATTCCTTAAGGTAAAATACCAGCCAAGTTGCTTTATACAGCACCTGTAGATTTTTGTATGATCAGTTGAAACAGGTGCTAAGAAATCATCGACTTCATGTACAAGATGGATTATTTAAAGCCATCAGAGAGAAGTGATGTCCTTTGAGTATGACAGCTATACAATAGAGCCTTTTACAATAACAATTATGCTTCTGGCCATTGTCAAGATGCATGGTTATCAGAAAGAGCATGACCGGATGTGGCAACATGGACTTGTGTCCTGTTGAGTTTCTCCAAAAGTGTTTAAAAATAATGTACTTAGTGCTCTGTAGTTAAAGTACATTGCTGTATCTATTGACTAGCAGTAACTAGTTTAGATTATCAGTTTTTCTAACCTTTTTTCTTCAGCTTTGACCCCACAAAATCCAATTGTTTTTTGTTGTTTTTTTTTGGGAGAGATGTGATACCCTTCTCTATCTGTTCGCATATTTTCAATATATCTGTGTATATAACTAGTATAATTTCTTCTCACTATACAGTAATATTTTCAAATTTTCATTATTTACTTTACTGGTTTACTTACTTGAAATAAAAATTTCTTCTGGTGAAAATGCTCAGTGTCATATCTTTTTGTCAAACATGATCTGGTCATGTTGTGAGACCCTGTGGCATTGGTCCTACTATCTGCACTTTGCAACTTTTTTGTATTATATAATTTATATGGCCCCTACCTGATCACTGGCATTGGGTTTTCAATCTGTCATTATAAAGGATCACTCTAGGGCTGTAACTTTGCAACTTTAGTTTGTCTTAGTATTTGTTCTGTTATCCAAAATTGCTTGTTTCTCCTCTTTATGATAGAAACCTACATGTTTCACAAATCCATTTTCCAATGCTGCTGGTGCTCTAATTGATACATAGTTCTCAGAGAATGAAAAACTGGTAATGTGTGATCTTAATCTCTATTCTGCAACTGAATGGGTTTCTATAATTGCTTTGGGTGATTGATTGTGGCCATTGATTGGATGGTGTTGGAAAACATCCTTATTGCAAAAGTTAATATTATTCTTCTTCCACGGATCCATCCTTTCTTCATGTTTTATTGATGAAATTATCTGCCTATTCTGTGTTCTTCCATTTGATCTTACAAAGCTCCTTGGATTTTTGTCTTGGTAATGTCATTTTTCTGCACCTATTTTCATTGTGGTAGACTCAGACTTCTATACAACTTATCTTAACTATGTCAGAGTTCATACATAACATTTTGTAGATGGTTTTGCTTTGGTGGGATGACTAGTCAAGGTGATGAAATCTCACTTTAATTCTCCCCATTTACATCTTCTTTTTTACACTTCTCTCGGTTATGTCCTTTTGTCATATTGAAGGAATTTGGTTCACTTAACCTTCTCATAGAGCTAAATTTGTGGACTTTTTTTATGAACATTCATTGTTGTGAAGTGCATCAAACCCATTAGAGATACTTATCTCAGAAACCTTTACTGGACATTGACAGACCAGTCCACTTTCTCTTTCAACTCCTTCCTAGGAATTCCTCATGATAGTTGAACATACAGGTTAATCACTCTCTCTTTCAGCCTATCTGTCCACATTTTACATTTCTTTGCATAATTGTTATGTTACTCATGTATTCCAAGTTCTGGATTTACCTCCTATAAAACCTATGGCTGCTGAAATCACTTATTAAGATATGTTTCCTTTTCTTTCAAGCCTTGACTTCTAGTTAATAGGATTTATACCATCACTATATTGTGTAAAATTTTTCTCAGTTTCAGCTTTTCTCTTTCTTAGTCTTCCTCTCACAATAGACTCAATTAGCTAGAAATGGGGATTACATGCTGTTGTTTTCTTCTGTGTAGATTAAGTTTATTTAGACCTTGACAAGCCCAAGTTTGTTTTTGTTTTGTTTTATAGCTGACTACCCCTTTACCTGTAACTTCTTAGTATTTTGGGCCCCCTCTCTGTACCTTTGCATTTTTTTTAGAGCATCAGGCTGCTTCCATATTCAAATTGACTCCTGCATTTGTTTTGACGTCTTTTTGTAATCTTAGACCCCCAGGGAAAGTGTCTTGCACAATTTCGTCTATTTTGTTTACTGCTTTTAGGTTAGACTCTTTAATAGGTTTACTGCTTGCTTAAATAAATCCTGTACAAGTTTATATGGTATTTCTGGTTAAGAATAATCACACAGATAGCTACTAAAAGTCTGCAAATTATGAAGAATTTCAGGATTTAGTTGGCATTTATTATCTACAGTCATAATAAATCAAATATATAACTTAAAACGTAAGTTTTAATTTAATTCTCAACACTGCATAACACAGAGTTGAAAAAACTACGTATCATTATGAAAATTTTAAAGTGATGTGAATGACAAATTTAAAAGTAGGTAATGGAAACAAAGTTAACTGGGTTTGTTTTAGAAATTTAAGGGAATAAACTGTTAGAATATAAATTATTTTCTTGTTGGATTTTATAGATGAGACAGGGGCACAACCAGAAAGTTATGTTCACTGTTGTAGGATCAAAAGACATACAGAATTACATTCTAAAAAAAGCATGAAAGAAAATTACATGCAGGATCTATACTAGTGAAGCTGCAGAAATCTAAGAGGGTTTCCACCCTCTTAGAAACATAAGGGGATAAAGGGGTGAAGCTAGGGACAAGATAGAAAACACAATTGTAGAAATAGGACAGTATTTCCAATGAAAAAGTTCTTTAGCTCATCTGTGACAAAAAGAGAAATTAAGAATCTAGAAATTTAGTATGTTTGTGTGTGTTTGTTTTGTTTATGTAAAACAAAGTACAAAAACATGATGACACCACAGGTATTTCTTTGATCTCACCTGATATTAATATGATTCTCTTTAGTAAGTATCTTAGAAAACTCATTGCACAATTCAACTAGGTCATGTTATCACATGGCACTTGATATTATACACATTATTTGTTACCCCTTTTCTCAACTAAGAATCCTTCAACCTGTTTGTCATCCTAAGCTGCTTAATAAGTTTGATGTTAGATGTAAGATGTGGTTGTTTTTTTCTTTCAGTTCATCCTATTGATGGAAGAATGTCTTATACCTCTCCTGAGCACTCATGATATAATTTTAAAAAATGAGGCAAAACAAATTGTACAAAATAAAAAGGACTTGTGTTAATAATTTGTCAAGTTGTTAGCAATTGTTTATATATATAAGTAAGTATTCATTGAATTTCTTTTGTAGGTAATTAAACCTAATTTTCATTTCAAATTTGAACAAGGTATGTTTTTTTTTACTCTTACAGAGTTCTAAGATATATCAGAACTATGTCACACCAATATTAGTGATTACTGTTTTAAAACCTATTTTCAGATAATACCTTACCTAGGTGGCCAGTGCTTTTTTTAAAAGTTGTGTCTTATAGTACATGGGGACACTACCAGATTCAGGGTTATGGTTACACAATTCTACCAGTAACTCCAGGTAAAAGTGTTGTGAATGTAACTCATTAAAGAAACTGTTGTAGATTTAAATTTCAAGTTATCAGTTCTTGTAAACTTTAACCCTTTTCAGCCCTTTGGCATCATTTTAGCCACTTGTGCATTCGTAAAAATTAATACCTCAAAAATGAACTATCTGAAACAAAGACACTTAAAATATAAAGCATGATACTTGTTGAACATTTTTGAATAGTAATTGAATATTTTTGGTAAATTTGCATTCTATAATAAAAAATATAAAAAAATACTGTACGACATAATTGTATGCTATGCTGTATCACAACATGCGTGTAACCATTGGTCTAAAAGCCAGGTTTGCTCATTCTTATTAGCATTCTTATTATCATTCACTAGCCCACTTTGTTAAATGAAATATTATTGTAAGATGTCTTATTTATCATTAAAAATAAATACAAGTTAATGATATTTATCTCACTATATCAATTTATAAAATATACTTTTGTAATGCTTTTAGAAATAATGAATAATTTCAAGCTGTTTCAAAAACTCCCACTGACCTTTAAGTTCATGCCAGGGCAAAGTCCACTGTAAGAACCATTAGTTTCTAATTTCAAGTAGTTGTTTTTAAAAGGGAACTTCCAAGGTAATTACATCAACAAAATAAACAATCAGTTAAACAAATAAAATTAATTTATCTTTAAACAGCATAAAAGAATACAAAACATCATGTAGGTAGATTATTTGAAGGCATGCAATCATGAAACATGTATTTGAAATAACTACTGTATAATTTCACCTTTTCAAAACTAGTATAGAATATATCTTTATTTGGGTATATTTACATAATTTTTTTAAATTTGCATGCAATTTCTGCCTGTAGTTAATCATACCTATGTTGACCTGTTGTTAAGTTACAAACATTTTCCAACCATTTTACACAGGGGTAAAGGTTACATACTGCATCTTAAATCTCATGCTGACCAGTAGGTTGCAAATTAATAACATACACAAAGTTTTGTGAATATAAATTGTTTTATTTCTTCATGCATGAATTCTTGTTTTTCCATTGCTGTCAGACTTCAGTTTATGCTTTGCATAACATTCTTGAACATCCATTTTGCAGATATTTTAGACTTTATCTGTCAGACGTCAGTGCACCTGAATATCACATATGTTTCAGACTTAAGTTTAGAAATCTACAATTCATATAAAGAAGAAAGAGATCTCTGAAGCAAGTAGATTGCAAGAAAGAAGATAATCCCAGCTTTCATAGAAGCTTTATATGATTCTATTAGCTATAGAAGCTTGAAAGATGTGAAACAAAAATAGTGCAATTTCAATTTTACAGTTTTTGGTACCAACTATTTCAAAAATTCATTGTTTTCAAACTATTTGAGGTAGAAATATGCAGTAAACTTGTACAAAGATCACAGATTTGCAACTTTGTTCCATATATTTAGAAGCTTTATCTAGATGGGCAGGAGTGTAAATATTTCTACACACCAAGTAAAAATTACAGTTGGGAGAACAAAAATCTAAATTAGGGTTAGCTTTTTGAATTTTTTTTTATCAGAAACAAATATTAATAAACTACACTAAACAAAATAGTTACTCTGAACTTATCAATTATAGTTTAATGTTGTAGATGATTTGAGGGGAACGACAAAAAAAATTTTTAAAACTGAATATCTCACAAAAAAATGAGATACTAGGCTGTAAAGGGTTAATATATATATATCAAGCTTAAATTCTATGAAATATAAAAGAATAGTTTAAATAATATTGGAAATATTTTGTATGTTAATATACTAAAGCAAATCATCACAAACCAATGATAAAAGGATAGCTTATGCTTAAGGCAATTTTATAACAAATAAACTACCAGAGAAGAAGGTATACTTAAAGACTTTATTATAGAATGATTATTAGGCATGTGCAGATAATCAAAACTACTTATCAGTTAAATTCAATGCAATGCTCTTATACTCATTTATAATGAAGAGTTCTGATAGAAGTCTTGTGTTATCAAGTCAGTTTTCCAGAGTATAACTGTTACTCATACTTTCATGTTAGCTTCTCACATTATGTTTATAGGTGTAGTTTTAAATGAAGATAGTATGTACCTGTTTTTTAAAAGGCTATATTTTTATAAACCATATTACATGTTAAGGTACTCAGATGCTGAAACTTCAAACTTGGCGGCCAGTACCTGTTTCATTGGTTGATAAACTTAGAACATATTTTATTGGAGGACCAGCTGAGATTGTAGACCCTACTTACTTGGCTGTACCTTCCACATTTCAGGTAAAAAATACATTTTTTTGTTTAGTTTCCACCACAATTGTTGTTTTGCAATGTAAAAATTAAGAATTGTATTGAAATTTATTAGTAAAAAATGTTAAGATTTTATTGTTTGGCAAATTTTAAGCTATTTGTGGGACATTTTAATTTTTTTGTCCCACAGAGAGACAAAAGAAAATAATGTTTTCTACCAAAGTATAACAGATTTTCAAATGTCAAGAACTTTAGAATTTTATATTTTTACATACACAGAAAGTTACTTAACCCTTTCACTGCTCAGGTGTGGTAAAAAAATAATCCATATGCAAAAAATAAATCGTTTTTATCTTATGAAATCATACTATAGCATGCAAAAGTAAAGAATAAACACCAAAAAATCATGTAATGACCTTTGTTTAGGTCTGTTGGTGTGAGGAGGGAGCAATGTGCTAGTCAGATCCAGGATGACCCTC